CCGTTTTCAGACACTTCCAGAAGCCCTCCAACAGCTTCGTCCCCTCAAACGCTATGGAAAGCAGGTGACGCTGAAGGAATACCTTCAGATTCAATTTAAAGGACAACTTTTACGAACCATCGATTGGAACCGCGTTGATGACCTGAAACTATTCCACCCAAAAACCGCTCTCTTCCAATCAACCAATCATCCAATTCTTCTCTTAGCCGGAAAGTCCTTCAACAGAGCTCTTCTTGTGGAAGGCAACCACAGGACAGCTGCGTTATCAGAGTGCCACGCCCAGAAGGAGCTTAGTGATGATGATCTGAAATCGACGGTGCCGTTGACTTTTTTTCAAATTCCCAAACCGGAGTTCAACAACATGTGGATGGCAGCTAATGAACTGGGTCGACAAGTGCAAGCTCAAGCTCGATTCGATTGGAAAAATGCTTCTTCAAGAACGCGTGAAGCTGTCTTTTCGGAATTCAAGAAAGAGGCGTACCGAACAAAAGGAAAGTTTTCCAAATTTGAATCGTCTATTCTTGCGTTAGAATTTTTGAATGCGGAATACGATGAGCAGGCCAGACTCGACATGAAGAATCATCCGAGCAAAAGGACTGAAGCAACTGATCGACTTGTTACATTGGGACTCGTTGACTCGAATATGGGCGGAGGCCGAACAGAAGGAATCCCAGTGGCCATGTTCCTATCTAGACAGTTGACACAAGAGGCATTTGTTGAGTCGATTCGAAACGACTCTTATCCGTCCGGTTCTAAAATCCACGAAGTAATCTGGAAATGCTCAACCGAAAACGATTCAGGAACTGCGGAATTGCTCTGGTCCGTTACAAAAGGTGAAATGAAAGCAGCAAAATTCGTCGCCAATCTCGACATCATCTTGAATGGCGGCACTGTGAACGTCAAGGAGACTGGAGCTGCAGCTCAAATTGCTGGAATTACCGTGGTTGAGCATATGAATGATGTTCCGAATGGTGGCTATCTCGTGACTATTGACACAGTACGTTACCTTTTTTTAACTGTAATAAGCGGAGTCTCTTAAGTTCTGCCACCTTCCAGTGATTGACTCAATGACTCAAAGCCACATTTTCAAGACTTGACTTGGAGTCAGATTTCCGAAATTTGACCCGAAGTCAGATTTTAAAGAACTGGCTTCAAGTCAAATCTCGGCAATCTGACTTCAAGTCAGATCTTCAAAAATCTGACTTCAAGTCAGATTTGGGTGACCT